AGAGTCACTGGGGTGGCATTGCCCATCCCACCCCCCTGTGCCCAGCCCAGCCCAAGGATGGGCTTAAACAGCCCTTCTGAGCAGGGGGAGTGCAGAAAAATGGGAGAAGATGACGCTCTGTTGTTGCACAAAGGGAAAAGTGGCTTCAGACCGGCCTGAGATTTAATGCTCCGAGATCAGGGTGAGAGGATTCAGCCTGGGAAGGGCCAAATCCCAGCTCTGCTCACAGAGGAGTTGGCATCAAGGGTTTCCCAAGATAAATGGGTTGAGGGGAGCTGGGACTTCCTCCTCCCCACTGGCCTGAGCAGCTTCCCAGGGCCGTGACACCATCATGAAGGCAATGCCTTCATGGGGCAGCTTCAAACCCGAGGGCAATGATGGAAAAAGTCCAACATTCAGGTATCCCAAAATCCCCATGAAACACCATTGCCTTGAGAGCATCCACCCCAAACCCCCCAAACCTCCTGAACCTGCAAACAGCCCCGATCCTACCCCCCCAGAGCTCCTTGCTCTGCTTCCTTTGGGGCTGAAATTCGGATCTGCACAGGGCGAGGCACGAACAGAAGGTCCCTTGACCATGGGACCGTTTCTCACCCTGCAAAACTCTTACCAAAAATCCCCGGCAGCTTGTTGGGATGCGGGAGGTCGTTGGTCTTCTTGGGGTGCCTCCTCCTGGGGGGTCTGGCTGCCCGTGTGACACGTGTGGGGCCGGGGCTGGCCCGGAAAAACGTCACCATGAAGGGCTGCTTGGAACGGGGCCCCCGGCGCCCCAACAGCCCCGCCGAGCCGGGGTCCACGCTGTGCCCTGCAAGGGTGGCACCCAAGGGTGGGTTTGCTCTCAGAATGAGCTCGTTTGGTTAAAGCAAGGAGGAAAAAAAATGCAAGAAATTGGCAAGGTAGGGCTGTGGGTTTAGTATCCCAAGCTGGACTGCTGGACCCCCCCACCCTGGGGCTCCCATTCTGCTGTTGGCCACCCTGGGTGGGTGGGTGGGTGGTGGGCAGCTCACAGAGGTAGCACAGCCTTGTCCTGCATGGTCACCAGAACGTGATGGTCACAGTGATTTAGGGAGAAAAAACAAGTGAGACCCATTTTCCCCTTTGCCCCTGGGGAGGAAAGCTCGGTGTGCTGGGATGGGTGGATGGATGGGGCATCCACGGCTGCAATTTTGGCTCCCCACGAGTGGACATGCTCTTTGTGCCCCTCAGCACCGTGACTGTGCACTTGCAAAAGGCACCTTTGGAGCAGATTTGATCCCTTGGTAAGAAGAGGGTTAATCCTCCAGCGCACACCCCGAGGATCCCTCCAGGTAAGGAGTTCATTAAGTGCTAATGGGGTTATTACAGCCCACACCAGGAGCCCCATTAGCATTAATGTCCTTGGGAAGCTTCTTGCCTGCAAACCCAGCTGAATTTTGGCACCCACAGTTCTCCATCACAGCTGGAAACTTAAAATCACAGGGAGACGAATCTCCCATCGCTGTCATCCACCTCGGCACCGGGAGGGGATGAGGACACCAGTTCCTGGGGATTTGGCCCCAAAAGCTGGAGGTGGGTTAGGCAGGCTTACCATCATCTGTCTCCACGTAGAGTCGCAGCCCCAGGTTGTATTTCTGATCCACCAACCAGTGGTTGCTGGCAGCTGTGACGTCAAACACCAGCCAGCCCTCGGTCCCGGCACGCAGGTCCTGGACATCCAGCAGGAACAGGTCAGACTCCCTGTGGGAATGGGGAAAACCCAACAGGTGAGTGGCTGTACCCAAAGGGCACCAGCACCAGCGAGAACTCATGCAAATGACTCTTCAGTGCCTGTGTCCGGGCAGGTCCTGGCACAGCCAGGACAGGATGGTGGCTCCTGGTGCCTCGGGCTGTGCTGGACATGATGGGGACACCCTGGCAACTGCCCTGGGAAGAGCCTCTTGCCAGCCCTGCCCGGGAAGCTGAGGTGTGGCACTGCCCGGGGGAACAGCCGGCCGTGCGGTGCTGCTTCCCTCCGTGCTGGGAAGGGAAAGTGCTGGGGCTTGTGCTAGTGTGGCAGCCCATCTCCATCATCTTCACCTTCACCCCCATCTCTATCTCCATCTCCATCTTCACCCCCACCCCCATC